TTAAATAGCATCGGAGAACCTTGAATTAAATTCACATTGGCAAAGACACTTACAAATACCCGTCATTATGTTTTAATGAACTTACAAATTCCAGCATTTAGTATGCTAATTAATTTGCGACAAGCAACGGTGACTCGAACACTTGCGCAAGCGCAGAACAATGAGATTGAACATTAAATAATGTCACTTGCTAAGTTGACTTACATGTATTGAATATCATTGGCTAATACAATTTGTCAGGCTATTGTGTTGGTAAAAGTGATAGATAAAAATAAATATCGAATGCTTCATGCATATGACACATTATTATTTTAATGCAGTCATAATTAATTGTCATTGTTGTGCAAAACCAATCTCGTATCATTTACATTAACAAATATTGAAACTACATATTTATTTCTGTGTAGCATGCAGGTTACTTATTATACTAAACTGCGAACCTACGCCCTGTATACATTCACACGACCCAAGGGCGCCAAACCGGTGACCCTACACAAATAAAAAAGCGGAACTTGCCAACACCTGGCCGTAACCATAGAGATCAAATCACAACCGATGACACTCGTGCGCATATCGATCGGTGTGAGCGTAACGGTTTTCTTTTTTCAAATTTTGACAGCTGCGGAAGGAATAGGGAAAATCGTTGCAACTGGTCATGCAAATAAGAGAAAATGCGTTACGTTGCATTTGCTTTCCAATGTGAATGCTGATTAATATACAAATAATGTTTCTGTATGTAGTCAGCAGTACGGGAAATGATAGCACGCATACATTCACTTATCATATTGTGACAGAATGATGAACGCTTCGGAATGGATATACTTACCTACTCATAATTTCCTATGAGAGTGAAAGCTAAAATAAAAATAAAAGAAATTGAACCCTACACACTGATAAAAAATATTGCTAAACTTACAAACTTACTGGCAGTCAATAAACTTTTTTACTATCAATATTATAAAAAGAATCCAAAATTCAAATTCGAAATTGGAACGGCGTTCATTCGGGCGCGAGGACGGGCAAGGGCGCGTGCTATACAGCCAAGCGTGGCGTATGGCAGACGAGCAGATGACACGCGACCGTTATGCCAGGTGCACCCGCCCGCAGCCATTATCAAGTTTACATTAGAACGAGCTGTGCCTAAAACGGAGCGTTTTGCGAAGGTGCTACATTCCTGCATGATACTTCGGAATTTGAACACAGATGCACGATAACTCGTTTTTAATTCAGAGATAAACTATTTTAAAAATGATACCGCTGTTGGCTCGTTCTTATAATGGCCAGCTGCATGGGTTGCATTCGCCATTAACATTGTCATCTCGGCATGTGCACATTCTATTTTTAAATTGTTTATGATATCAGCTCTGACATAGGCGATGCAATTAACAAGGAATATCCATAAACATTTTTGCAAATAGCCCTGTATCTACTGATGAATATTTATTGATCTATTTCAGTTTTTAAATTTTCTATTCAGTGCATCTCTGTCAATTTCCAAGTGCTATGAACCTTCTAAATTCTTCATTACTTTGTGGTAACACTTTTTCCGTTGCAAGTTAGAATAATTCTCATTTACTTACTTTTTAATCCTTCATGGAGCATGGAATGTGCTAAGAATAATTCAGTCATGCTCTGACAATGCAACGTGTTCGTGATTCGTCCATTAGCAACTATATTTACACCAGCTAATAAATTTTCCGATGTTAATTTATTATAATCATTTATTTTGACTACAGGCTTGTTCCGATCGTCTCATCAACTAAAATTGACACATCAATAGTTAATATTCGTCGGCGCACGCAAAGCTATTATTTACAATTTCCACTGAAATATGTCACGATGAATTGTCATAATTAGACAGATGTGTGTCGCCAAATGGTGAAAGTATCAGTAATTTATTTGTGTTAGAACAATCACACTTAACTGCACGAGATTAGGGAAAAATTGTTATAAAATAAAAACAAAACAATGGAAGATCGACGAAACACAATATTGGACTGTCAAAGAAGCTTGATTTAATTGCTATCCTTATTAATACGTAGTAACTTTGTTAATTATTTGTTCTGTGTCTTAATTTTATGATATAGAGACGACTATACGAAGCATCTGTTAGACACTCTATAAACAAAAATTAATTAGTTTACATTAAAATTTCAGTTGATTCTGCTAATAAATTTTAAGGGAAAGATTCCCAAATGATATCCACACAAGGCAATTAAAACAAAATGCCAAAAACAATTGAATAAAGTAATTAAACGTCATTGTTTCTATTCAGCCGTGACTAAGAAGTACCAGGCGCACATGAACCGAAGGAAGTCGCCAGGGTCGCGAATCGAAGGCCAACAGTAAAGGTCTAATGTGCATTTGCATCTTTCACTAAACTAAACTGGAGCAAATGCATGCGAACTGGCTTTTCGTTATCTTTATGAGAACACACTGTCACTGATGCATACGAAAATTCATGATAATATTGCGATTCGGTATGCTGTAGAAAGCTCGCCACATGCTGCATATCAGAATATATTAGACTATGTTATAACTTATACATGCATATAATATGATATAACATAGCGAGACGAACAGCTAGAGATAACATTGGTTCTATCTACTCTCGTGACAGAGACCTTATGCCATAGATATAAAAACAAATTACAAATTAAACTATTTAAAATGACCTAAAACACGCGAATGCAAAGGTCACGAAGCATTGTCAAGGTCAGATCAATGAATTGTAACAAACCCAAAGTGTTATTTTTTGTCAACCATGAAAGAAAAGTACCAGGCTAACATAAAATGAAGGAAGCAAATGACTGTCGAAGGCTACAGTGATAAAGCTTCAAGGTTCGTTAATTTGCATTCCAATGAGTTATCCAAAGGTTGACAGATAAACAAAACACGTTAGATAAAATGTCAGTAAAAAGGTATCTATCCATGTACCTTCTTATTTCTGTTAGCTCTTTTGAACCATTGCTAAAAGTTATGGAGTGACTAATAAACTTACTTTCAAAAGAAAGTGTGAGCTTGTGAGAAGTTTCCTCTCCCGACCGGAGCTGAGTAATTTTATTGAATGCTTTGCCTCCTAGAGACCTTCTATTAATATAAATTAAAACATGTTAAAGTAATGGAATAACACGAACTTTACGGTTTTTAGTCACGTCACGTTATAAAACAATTCCCTGTTAAGTATGCAGTATGCAGGTCCCATATAAGTACGTTATAAATCCGTTACCCGCATGGATATGAAAAAAGAACTACGAAATTCCAAAATTAAAAATGTTGAAATATTAAGAGAAAACTTTTTCGTAAAGAAATACTGGCGTACAATATTGCAATATTGTTTTTATTAATTCCATGGTTTTAGCGCCATAGATGCGCTAATCAGTTGTTTCGCAACGCATCTTTCCCAACGAGGATTTGCACTTCTACGATAATTGCAATAATTGAAATACTGTGTTTATGATGTACCAACAATACCAAATATGTAGGTACTCAGTACTCACATATGAGAGTACGGTACTTTGAGTACAGTTACTTAGGCAGGTACCTTTATATGGGTTAAATCTTTTATGAAGATTGCTGTTTTTGATAGAAAAAGAATTTGCAAATATTCAAGATTAATTCAAAAGACTGATAGTTAGCCAGATCTTGACTGTAGTTGATATTTAATCAACAGAGGTGTCAGTTACTCTGATAACGATGTATTCAATTTAAATAGCCTTTTACACTATTTCATCAAAGTCTATGAGGTGAATGTGATCAATAGGCACCGCTTGTAAAGCAATGACCACAAAAGGCCGGGGGTCAAATAGCTAAGTAAAAGACTCATAAAGGTTACACTTATTAACATACTTTACGTAACAGACTGAACTATTCATTAATAGAAAGGTACTAATTGTTTTTTAATGCAGGAATTACTATGCCCCTTACTGACTGATTACTTGTTTTAAGAGATACCTATGCACATAAATAATTATTTCTGTATTTTTCGAAAAAAAATTATTAACAAAGTAACTACCTAGTTATAATAACACACGTAAAGCTTTAAAACTTGAATTGCCTATACTAATAAGTAATTTGCAGTGTCTTAGGTACCTAAGCATGAAAAATTTTCTTTTGGTTACCTCCCACAGCTTCACGAATTCGAAAAAACGAAGATCCGCATTAAAATTAAAAGCTGACTACAATACTGAGAAACAATGTGAGCGATTTCAAAATGTTTTCATACATCGCAAAAACATGATTGTTTATATTAAAACTGTGATTGTACCAACCGCTGAGCAACTTATATGGTCCAGTGGCACATTATGTGAAGTACTTAGCGCTATGTTTATAATAGTGATAAGTAGTACCTATGAATCAGTTAGATACATTGACTCATAGAGACAACCGCAAACCAATATGGCCGACTTAGAACAACTAAATTGCGTGGATTTGTAAATTCAATGTTACAATAAATATTAAGGAAAGTGTAAATAGGTACATTTTCAGAGCTAAATAAGTGGTGCACACTTAACGGATTTTGTTGTCGCTGATGTAGTGTCCAAAAAGGTCACCGATTAACAATCGGGGTCTTACCTTTCCCAAGTCAAAATCGAGGGGAGAGCTTTGACAAAATCGCTGAATGAACATTCGCCCTTGCACTCGCTTGCACAATAGATCTGCAACGGTTTTTAACATCTGCCCGCGATCCTAGCCCGTTCGTCGTGAGATGCCATTATTATTAATGCCAAGAACCATAGTGCAGCCACACGCTTCACAACGCCGTTTTTAGGCTCACAAGGTAAAATTTTGATTTCAATTCTAATCACCATACGTAAATTCCCATGATCATGTCATGAAAAAAAACTAATTTGACCTCAAACAACGAGTTGTCACGCATCGCCACCTCCCAAACTATAGTTTATAATGGACCAAGAAATTACGTCACTTGGCACCGATCATTAAACCCATCGCTCCGCCACGCTCTTCCCACGAGTAATTTTATCTTTGTTCTTTTGCAGGATGTCCAATTTTCAACGTACTAGAAGCAAAGTCTGGTGGGGTGACTCACCGCCGAGCATCGGGAGTCCAGTGGCCCAGCCGGCCGACTGGAACCACAACAATCGCCGAGAGGAGCAGGACTGGGAGCCGCAGCTGCCGCATTGGATCGCGAACCAGCCCGAGCAACAAAGGAACAATAGCATCGACAACATTGCGCAACCGAACAATGTGCAGATAAACCAATGGCCTCTGCGCCACGGCAGCCCTGGCAGTCACAAGAGCCAAGATTCGGGCTTCTCAGACTCCGATAGCTCGCCGCCGCCGTCCCAGTACTACCCCTCCCCAGAGAGCAATAATTCCAACAACAAATCATCTAGCAGCAGCGATTCCAATAATAATGAGGATATCACTGTAAAGCAAGCGGAGGGCTTCCAAAACACACCAAGTAAAGATGTTGTTGACAACGGAAGAACGCCCGAAGTCCCGAAGGGGGCCCCAACCCCGAAACCTCGCTTGCGTAGTAGTAGCGTCATACAAACACCGTATGACCTACAAAAATATTATGAAATTCACTGTGATGAAGAACATATCCAATTACTAAAGGATAAAGAAGATGTAAGTAAGAATGAAATTAATGTTACGCCCAAAAATATTAACAATGAGAAATGTAATAAGGATATAAAAACTAAAAACAACTCCCCGAAGGTAGAAAACTCGAAATCAAACGTAGAACCAGGTAATAAAATAAAAATTAAAGTTACACCTCCAAATAACAATAACAAAGAAAATAGTCCTGTCGTAAGTGCAATACATAAAGATACCAAAGATGTACCAGCTAAAAATGTAAATATCTTAAGTCCATCCAAAAAGTATCCAGTGAAGAAGTCGTTTGTATCAAGTACAGAAACTGATAGCACGAAAATAAGCAAAGTAGCCAAAGTAAAGGATTTGGAAACGAGTAAAAATAAGTCTGATGAAAGTTTAGAGTTTATTAAATTGGCTGATGATAATGAAATTGCCGTGAATAACCAACCTAGAGTTCGAACACCAATTTCTAATGTATCATACGTGCCAACAGAAAGGCTCGCTGTTGCTAGAGCTGAATACAGAAGAAGTTTGTCCAATGAGGATAACCTTCCTATCACAACAACTCCCAAGTTTGAAAGAAATAGACTGAACAAGTCACTGAATTTTGAGGCGCAAAGACTAGACCAACAAATATTGGATATTCAAGAGGGCTACCACTCTTTGGGTTACATCGACGAAGATGTTATTAAAGAAGAGATGGAAAAATCCACGGAGCAAATTCATAAACCTACTAAAGCAATTTTGGGTAAAAATATTATGGATAGTCTACACTTGAAACCAACGAAGAAAGCTGGGCCTAAAGCTAAACATCGATTTGCAACAAAATCTGACAAAAAAGATTTGTTTAGAATATTTCCTTCCAAGAAAGAAAAACCTGGTGTTGTTGAAACACACGCTGGAGGCGTTGTGAGTAGTAGCCGAGTACCATCTCTTGGTCTGCCTAGAACTGCAGAACAAAACTCTTGGGTGATAGTTGGTTATCCAGAACAGGAGCTATTAATACCCAGTTACAATGAAAGGCTAGTTGCAACAGACAGTGACATTAACCTAAGAGCTAAAGATACCCAAAATGAAGATACGAGCTTCTTGAAAAATAGAAGAGTGACTCCTCCGCCACAGTTCCAAGACAAACTCAAGACACCTTACGACACAGACTCGAAAACCGACAAAGACTTAACACATGATTCCAAACGAGAAAAATTAAAAGAGGAAGAACTGAACTTCGGGGATATGCAGTTAGATCTAGCCTGTACTTCTACACCTAAAATGTTGGCTCCCCACGAATACATGAATGGTCAAAAAACCACACCAAAGAGCGTGAGGAAGAATATTCGCAGAGTAAACTTGTTGGAGAACATCAATACTAGCGGGTAAGTGTACTATGACCCAACAAGGAAGGTTAACCAGTTCGGTTTTGCCTTGCTTGCGTAAATTGGAGAGATAATTATAGGTTTTGGTTATTACTTAATAACAGCGTTAACTAACATGTTAATTTATTGTTGCAGGGTGGTTCTGAATAACCAGAATGAGATTTTGTATAGAGAAAGGAGTATAGATCAGACGACATTGGAGCGACTTTGCGAGAGGAAGCCCGAGCCAGTGCAGCATTGGCTGTGCGACCTTGTAGGGTCCTGTGAGAACGAGTGCATGACCACGCTGCAGAGTAAGCCTTTGGGCGCTGAAATGAAAGCAATGGTGACATCCAGCTCAGCCACCATCACGGGGAACATCAAGAAAGTGCAGACCCATGGGCAGATCATTGTTCATCAATACAGCGATGTATTGAGGTAAATCCCTTTATCCTTTAACTTTACCATATCACAAACTGGTCACTTGTCTATCAAACCTATACTTTTCGTTACTTGAACTTATTTCATTAATAGCGTGTTACAGCATTTTATTGATTTCAAATTAACACTTGCCTTCATTAGCTTTAATTATGCGAGACGTGACCAGCTTATGTAAGCTCAACATTCAACGTTCACCTAATAAATTGTTGTTATTTCGTAATTCTAGGCAAATGGAAGCTAATAATTCCAGTGAAGAGCAAATCTGCTTGTTGGTTGCGAATATAAATGAGTTCGTTTTGGCGCATAGCATTACGTTGAATACCAAGCCGCCTGGCGAAACTCCAGAAAGATGGGATAAGATCAAGAAGTCTCTTCAACTTTACTTGCAAAAGCTGATTGACATAGGCGAGGATGTAAAGATAGAACTGAATGAGAGCAGGCCAGAGTGGAGTCTAGTGCAAAAACACTTGGACACCCTTATCGGCATATTCCTCGAGACTACCAAGGCCGTACTTGTCCAGCAGATGAAGGTATGTTTATGTTATCATATCTCACTTTATCAAGATAAAAGATTTATCTCAGCTATCGATGTAAGACGGAGAAGTACTTTTATCGGTCACGGAAAACTCTAAAGGACATTCGATAGATAAACTCATGGATATGCCATTCAAAATATTGATTTCTAATCAGCTTATTAGCAAGTTTGTCTAGTTAAGATTCAATTAATGGTAAATGGTGTGTGATTATGTGCGTACTTAATACGAGGCAGCGTAATAGCGGACATTACGATGGAATAAACATGAATAAGGATGTAAATGAAATACCAATGGAACTTAGTCTATACCTCAGTATAGATGACCTAAATCATGGCGTAAAAGGATAAAATGATTTAATAAAATATTATTATAGCCAGTACTAAATGCCCGAAAGATTTCCCAATGTGTTTGGAGCTTTGTCCTACCCAATAAATACTTTCTCGACAGTTTTCATAATTAAGTGGCTTTGTTACCTACCAATAATTAACTTAAAACGAATTTACGACACAGCGGCATTCCTTCGTCTCAAAACTCAAAAAGTTCTGACTCACCACCTGAGTCACTCAAACCACAGAATATAGTACTGCTCAAACTAAACTCAAGTGTTTCTTTCAGACGCTCGTGTCAATAATCGAGGAGCCGCCTTCGGACATGCTTCTCAAGAGCACGCTCACCTCCATTGGCCATTTAGCTATGCTCAGCGACTCGACCGAGTCATCCCTCCACGAGAAATGCACTAAAGTTATGAAGAGCATTTCTGACTTGCCGTTCGTAGACTGCGGAGTGCCTAGAGCGCTGTTAACGGCGATTATTGAGAGCAACAAAAGCTCCATAAAGGCGCTGTCGTTGAGAGCATTGGCTACTGTATGCGTCACGGCCGACGCTGTTAAGCAGTTTGAAGAGGTAAGGGATCGTGGGAAGAATAATTATGTAAACGAATTACAGTGAAAATAATTTCTTAAGTAATAAGTAGAGACGCCAGCACATCAAGCTAAACACAGTGGCGTCTTGTCTCGTTGTAATACAGGCGATTTTGCAACAAAAATGTATAATCTGATGTGCTGTCGTCTACACTTGAAAGTTTATTGTCGGCTAACAGTTTATTGTAGCCAAAACAATTGAAAGATGACTCACTAAATCTCTCGTTTTAAAAAAGAATAGAGGTTAATTTAAACCTTATCAGTCAAACTTAACTTACGCAAAACCTTCGAGTAACAACTCAGTTTTAAATTTTTATTTTTCTTAGGGTGGAGGCATAGAAATCCTGTCAGACATCCTCTCCGACCGGTCCAACCCTGAGCCTCAGATGCGCGAAGCCATCACCGTGCTCACTCAGATCACAGCTCCCTGGCTGCGAGGGCACTACGACCTTACCCAGCTTCACCTCTACTTGAACACCATCGTTGATAACATCACTGGTATGTGCTTATCAAATAAGACTAAATTGAGTTCTGTTACCGCCATCTGTTGGCGAGTAGCGGAACTAAAAGCATGCTTTTTTTTCGGTTACTGTATTAATATTTTTAGTCTGTGGTAAAAGTTTGAACACTTCTTTGATTTTGCAAAAATTAATTAATACTACAATAATGTAATATCATCTGATATTTAACTAATTGTCAACAGCAACACGACAGGAATGGAGTATTGGCCAAACTATGGTGTACTACATTCTTATTCAATTAACTTTAATAAATTTTAATAACAATACACAGAATTTAGGTACTTACCAGTAATTTTTATGTTGCGCAGGTTTGCTATCCCGCACTGAATGCTGCCAGCTGCTCCTTCTTTGCACAGCATGCCTCGTCAACCTGGTGCGAGAGTTAGAATTGGAGAAACGTGAAGACGACACTAGCGCCGCCAAGTCTGACATCGTTGAAGTGTTCACCAAGCATCGCACTGTCGAAAGACTTCTTGACGCTGTAAAAAGGCGGGGACCAAGCATTTCAGTGTTTTTACAGGTAAATACAATACTCTAGAACTTATGAAAAAATTATTATAACTTTAACTACAACTTGTATTCAACAAGTAAAGCTTCTTAAAAGTATCAAATAAACTGCCCCCTATCGGCGAATAGTTATTCTAATCTTGTAGGTGCAATCATGCGTTTTTAACGTAAAAAAAAGTTATTCTAGTATTCTTATCGCACAAATATATTTTAACATGCTCTTTTACCACAGGAACAAACCGCGTCTCTCCTAGCGTCGCTCTCCCGTATCCCGCGCTGCGTTCTCCCGCTGTCGCATCTGACCGCGGCGGTGGCGGCGCTAGTGTGCTTCGCTCGAGCTGCGCCCGCGCACGCTCCACGCGCGGCCGAGCTTAGAGCGCAGGCGAGATTGCACTGCCATGCTGCGGAGGCGATTTCTAGGTCAGTATAGTATACAGCCAGATTTTTAGAACTAAAATCTAATACAGACGACGGCCCTTCCAAACTAATCAAACAAAAATATAACCCTCCTGGTGCAGTCGGGTAAAAAACAGACACTATAGCATCTTAAAAACATTATGTGCTTGTAAGATTGGTGCTATGTTGCAACAAAAGTTTAAGTTTAGTAAAAGTTCTTGAGGGAGAACAAGGATCCACTGGTCAATTTCACAAAAAAATTAATAGAAGAAACATTTCAATCTGGTTTTGCTGAATGTTTTAATAGTCAGACAAAATAAATAGAAACTCAATAATTTGTTACTTAAAAATATACACACGTAATTTATTTTTCATTCCAGACTAACCGTTGTCCCCGAAGTGGCCCACCAAATCGTTCAGTTAGAGGGCGTTCCCCATCTTACCCGGCTGGTTAGGATGCAGCGAACGCGCCCGCACCTCGACGTAAACCCGGACCAGACCCTCATCCACTGCCTCAAAGCTCTCAGGAACCTCTACCGACACAACCCTGAGGCTTTCGAGGACCCAAAGGAGGTCGAACAGATGGTCCGACCACATCTAATGGAATCGCTGATGCTGTTCTCAGCGAAACAAGAAAGTTATGTTTAGACCTAAGATTGTAGAAGTTTTTGCTGTATTAGAATGAGTTGTGTAAAGAAAACCTGTGGAAAATTTATGGAAAAATTACGTAGATATTTTGGTATGAATGTGTAGCGGTTAAGCTGTCTTACTATGCAATGGTATAATATGATTATGAAATGATACCTACTTAGTAGTATTATGATTCGTGACAATACTATTATTTATTACTATGAAATATAGACTGCACTGTACTTTTAGGAGCTAAGGGTATTTATTAGGCAAAATAAGTTTGACAATGCGCTATTTTGTGCTGAAAAAACCTAATGCACCAGTGCTATAGACTATAGACACTCAAATTAAATTATTACTTACCTAAGTTTGATGAGATTGCCATACATTCCACCTTTTTATTTGTAAGTCTCTTTGTATATAAATTCCCAGATAAATTACGAGATTGTATACTCAAGCTTTGTATATAACTTTATATTATTACAGTTGCTCTCATTGCTCATTAGAAACGTGAAGCCATACACTATAACTAGTCCATTCTGTTTTAGCTTAGTGAGATGCATTTGCACTTATTAACTGACCACGGTCAACAAAATTTACGACTAGTTATTATACTCTCTGTATCTTTTATTTACTACATAAGCAAGTAACATAAGGAGCTTTAAATATTTTAGTTGCGAATGTATAATCGGATATTATGAACATACACATTAAAATTATGAAGTGTAAAGAAATCTACTTACTAAAATGGGATAATCCCACCTTATTGTTATCTGTTTATAAATAAAGTATATACTCATTATAATACATATTTTTATTTCAACTTCGAGTGTATAAAATACCTAACAATAGCCACTTGATCAAAAGATAAGTATCAACACTTAAGTGTTACAGAAAACAGTTTATTGCCAGTCAATATTAAAAATCCTTACATATTTACACAGTATTTAACCCCCTTAGCCATAAAAATGTTGAATAAATACTGCAATAATTAACTGAATAAAATGTTATTATTTTCTATCATTGTCCATTTTGCTGTGTTGAAAAGAGGCAACAAAGATTTTAATATGGATTTACTTTTTATGAATAAGTGGGTTAAATCTCATTAAAAACAATACAGTCACAAAAATGATGCACAATACATTTTTGTGGCTTAATAGCACCTATTACAATGTCGCAAAATGTCACTGATCAGCTAGACATCCCATGTATATCACAAAATTTATCCATAGGACTGTTTAACATTTTTAGAATGGAATATATCAACAGTTGTCTCATGGCATTGCCGCAGATCCAAGTCGTACACACCAAGGCAGAACTTGTTGTCAGGGGCTTTGAAAAAATCTAATCCTCTGCCTATTTTTATTATCCAACCTGTACTTAATCTGAAACAGGAAAAGAATAAATGGTTAAAAATGACAGATTTAACTTCGTAACTATAGTCTAGTTCTTAATTCAGGCAGTGCTTGAGGTATGGGAGCAGGATTCATGGGAGGGATGACATTGACATACTTAATTCATGATATAACAGAGCATAAACTTGGGTGTACCAGACCAAAAATAGAGCAAAAATAGAATCATGTCAACATGCGATGGAGAGGAGCATTCTGAAAATAAGAAAAATTCTAAAAATCAGAAACAACAAAATTAGACAACAAACAGAACTAACAGATGCCCTCCAAAAAGCTTTAAAACTAAAATGGCAGTGGGCTGGACACCTAGCAAGGTATAAAGATAGAAGATGGACTATAACATCAACAGAATGGAAGGGACCGAAGGGGAAGAGGAATGTTGGGAGACCCAAGGAAAGGTGGGCTGATGATATAATGAGAGTAGCGGGAGAAAATTGGCTCGACCTAGCCCAGGACAGGAAGAAATGGAGCGAAATGGAGGAGGCTTTTGCCCATACAGGGGTGCCACAAGAGTGAATGGACAGATGCTTCAAACTTAATTTAAAAATTGTAAATAAAAGCTTTTTATTATGTTATTTTATTTATAACAGAGCGTACTAATCTGAAGTCTCTCAGACGACCTGAGGCACTGACTGAGTTACATATTAGAATTAATATCACTTAGGTATCATTAATTACTTACGCACACTAACCTTAATTTTATCGAAACCAAACTTGTACGTGTTTAGGCTAAGTTTTTATACAGTAATAAATTTATTCTATTATTCTATTATTACTTACGTTATTTGTCTATCATGCAATGTCTCTGAATATTTCACTTCTAGATTTATTCGATATCTTTTCAAGTCATTTTCCAAGTTATTAAACCACTGCTGTTGGTCATGTGACGTTTTAGAGTCTCTAGAGGTCAACAATTCTATGTACCTCAAGTTACTGCATGATCTTACAAGTAGTTCGCAAACCCGTAGAAAGTTTTGACACTGAAAAACAAAGAGGAATCAATTAATGTTTAGTTGAACACAGCAATTATCTTTTATTGTTGCTCAATTGAATATTATACAATTTTACCATGATAAATGTGCTGTGTACTATCCTAAAATAAATAAAAAAAAATGAAGGTAAAACATACATACCTGATGAAAACTTCTGACATATGGATCTTCTACCAACACAAACTGCACATCCTCGTCTAAAAACCTTCCAAATAAAGTTTTGTAGCTGTGACCAGTGGAGTTGTTTTCTATGTAGACCTGTTCATGGAACTGGCCAGCCTCTTTTTGCTGCAAAACCATCTTTTTTATAGTTTCAGCTCTATTCATGTACTCTTCTACTTTTTTCCTGAGATAACTTCTGGCAGTGTCATCAATCTCTCCTACAAAATACAAAGAAATAATGCTACTTGTACAAGGGTTTAGTTTAGAATATAAAATAATTGGCAAGTTGTTGCAAAACACAAACCTTTCATTTTGTCCACTAGAATTTGAAGACCTTCTTGATAACAAACTAAAGCTTCAGTATATCTTTTCTTAGTATCCAATTCCACACCTCGTTTCAAAATGTTAATTGCAGCACTTTCAATATTCATTGTGTCGAGTAGCCGAGATGAGAGGGTGAGAAAAGAATTAAAGAAAATACTGAAAAGTAGTGTTTACAAGTTTATCAGTATTCATGCTGAGTTTTTGTTGCCCACGTCTTTTGCAATCACGCAGAAATGACACTTTTTAAATCGCGGTTTCAATTCGTTCATTCATTAATCTTCAATCTTCCTATTGGTCATTCGACAGTGTACAGTGGTGTACAGTGGATTTTTGGATAAATTTTATTACATTTCTTTAGCGGCAACACTGGCAATCTTTTTTATCTCTTTCATGTTTAAAAAGTCAAATGGGGGGTTTCCCCCTCTTGGAGTATGAGTATTCTTTGGGTTTCCCAGTAACATTCATGAAGCTAAAGATAAAAATGGAGGGCAGAGTTGGAACAAAAAATTGAGTCAAATACCTACTTATATTTATCTCGCTCTCTGCGGCCCTACCTCTCTTTTTAGTGTGAACTGTAGTATTGCTATCTTCTGATTTAAATCTCCTTGTAAATTCTTCGAAATAGCCAATTCACTAACCAAATTAGAAGTTAAACAAATAAATAATTAATATTTGAAACTAAGATTTCCTAGTTAAATAAAAAATCACAAAATTGTCGGCCATTTAGGCTTAATGTGTTGGCGAATCAGGGAATTACAATCCCAATTCCTGGGTAATCGGTACCATGTGGCAACATCGGCCCAATCCGGCCCATCATGGCGGTTGTTTACTATTTTGTTTATTAAGCAGTTAATTTCGTTTGAGATTGTTTACAGGAAATAATCATTGTTTTATCACAAGAATTGGTGCAAAATTTTGTAGTGCGTGGTTGCGGTAGTACGTGGTGTCCTGGAAGTGACATAAGATTCCACGCGTAAGTGTTTATTTCGTGATTTCCGACATTGGATCATTGTAAACATTTTTCACATTTTTTACAGTAATTTCTTCCTAAAACGTTTTACCAGTAATTACACTTATCATTTTTAATGATACCTATGTCAAGAAATAAAGATTTTACATTGGTTTCATTGAATTTGAGCAATTTTATATTTTTTGTTTATTTAGAAAGAGCGAGTCTGCCCACAGAGAGCGAGATAGTGATACTTAGTTTGTGCTTCAAGTAGGTATTCGGAGTGTGGCCTCCATTTTTATCTGTAGCTTCATGGTAACATTAAAGTTTTTGTATTATAATAGCGCGTGTTTTGACCTGTGGCCATGTGGGTGACTGGGTCTAGCTAGACAAAGTGCATTATCACATATTCGCAAACCAGTCAAAAAATGGTCGAAAGGCCTTTTTTTGTATGGAGTTTTGACAGATTCGATTGTCGATTCGGTCACACAACATCACACTACATAATCAACAAAAACATGTCAACAACATTCAATATTATTGTTTCAGAAGTTCACAGTGCTTGATTGGACCCTCGTCTATTCTGTCGGCCGGAAAAACTTAGTTCATAAAATAGCCGTATTAAAATCCTTAAAAAAAATACCTAACCTGTCAATTCAATGTCAGTGTCAGTCAGCGAATTGTCAAAAATGTAAACAAATGTTTCACCCAGGGTACGGAAACTTCCATACTACGATCAAACTTGCTTCCAAACAGCGACTTCAGTCGATAAATTCCAATACTTTTTTTTTTTTCTTTATGGCTCTCGCGGATTGCGTTTAGCCACGACAGGGTTCTTGATTTTTGCGTTCAGTTTTGCCATAAGTTTTGCGGACATTGCGTTTAGACAGGGTGGGATTGGGTTAAAGTTAAAAGGTAGGGAAACGAATCAATTACGGATGGAAACGGAACAAAGGATGGTTTTCATAGGATCAATTTAGGTGTGATATAATTACAAAATAATAAAAATAAAATAATATTTACATAAGTACAATATACATTACTATTTACAATTTTATATTATTATGGGTAATAAATTCGGCTAGGATATTATAAACATCAATGTTATTGGTATATAATAGGCAAGTGATGGATGTAGGAAAAGGAATTTTAATGGCTAAAAGAGAACTAATAAAAGAGGAACGATCATATAGGCAACAGTAAAAAAATATGTGATTTAAGTCTCCGACGCCAGAACCACAAATGCACGAATCATTATCAAGTACATGAATTTTAGCCAAGTGTGCTGGAGTGCACACGTGACCAAGTCGCATTCTAGTTAAAATGGTAGTAACTGTTTTGGAAAGATTCATTTTAACAAACCATGGTTTACAAAGGATGGATGGTTGAATGAGCTTGTAATGTTTCCCCTTAGATTGGCTAGTGAACTCCCAATTCTCATCCCAGGCAGATTTGAGATAAGCTTTGGGAAGGGCTGCCGTTAAGTCATGGCAATAATTTGTGTACGGATGTATATCTCCACACTCAACCGCTTCATTGGCCAGCTTATCAGCTTTATCATTTCCTGGAATATTGGTATGACTAGGAATCCACGCAAAATTAATTAAATGACTGTTAAGACTACATTTGTGAAGTAATTTCCTGCATTCTGTAATAATAGGATAATTAGTATTGTTCTTAAATGGAAATTTATGTAATGCCTGCAAAGCACTTTTAGAGTCACAAAATTTACAGTTTTGTTTAATTTCATAAGGAGAGCATACTCTAAAGCCTTAAACAGTCCAAAACATTCTCCTGTAAAGACTGATGATTCTGGAGGGAGTTTTATTTTCTGGACAATATGATATTGTTTATGGTATGCGCCAACGCCAACATGACCCGTTGGAGAGTGCTTAGATGCATCGCAATAGATATGATGCCAATCGCCCCAGTGTTCGTCTACGATCTGATTGAACTTAATGTTAGCATTGTAGTCATCCTTATGTATGTCTAGGTTGAAATGAATTGTCGGAGTAAGAATAAGGGATTCAACAGAAAATATCGGAAGAATCGCCGTGTGGTGACGGCAGAGTAGAATACATTTGTCACCAACCCCTACTCTTCCCGCGGGTGTCGTAAGAGGCGACTTAGGGACTACACAACAAACAGAGAATGGGCAGCAGCGCTCTCTGAAAAACATCAATCTTTTAAACTGCGATCTCCAACCCGCCTGCCAAGCGTGGAGATTATGGCAAATCCCTCCACCATAGTGGAGGAGGCTCATAGTCCAGCAGTGGACTGTAAAGGGCTGTTGATGATGATCGGAAGAAAGGAGGTTCTGTAGACTGGGGCTTGGATTGATATAAATTTACGAAAACTAATAATCACACAAGGAGGAGATTTACGTGACCAATAAGAGGAAGTATCAATTAAATCATTAAGTCTGTTGAGTTTGCTATATTTATGATGGTCAGCAAATTGAAGTACACGGAAAAGATACTTGTCACATAAATATTGGCGGCGTAATTTCACTGGGGGCTCAACACATTCAGCTTGCAAGGCATTAATTGGACTCGATTTCATAGCACCAGCTATAATCCTTAGCGCTTTAGATTGAATCGCATCCAATTTACTTAAACCAACTAAATTACAAGGCTCTAGATAGAAACTGCCATAGTCAAGTACACTTCTTATAATAGCATTGTATAAAAGTCTTAATGACGCTGGGTGAGCACCCCACCAGACTCCAGAAACACATCTTAAAATATTTAAAAGCTTTTCAGATTTTGCAGCAATGCTATAACAAACAATGAGGAAGCAATACTTTTTAACTACCCTAAAACGCATGTCGCTGCTCCTGTTTCCTTCATATTTTCATTTTTTTCTTAATTAAAATATATTTCAGAATATTGTTAATTACAATGTGAAAACTTTTTTTAAAATGAAATTAATTTGTTTTAATTTAAAACTGAACGGTGACATTTTTTGTTATAATTTACTTAATAGAGTAGTAGAAATTACTATTTAACATATGGCAACTTTGTTTTTCCTCCAAAATGGCCGGTGTTGTTTTTGTTAGGTTGAATGCATTCTTGTTTTCTTAGCCATCGTTTATGAGTTCTGTGGCCCTATTAAAGTATTGAAGAGTCGAGTCAAATTCAAGTTCATTCCTTCGTACCTGCTGCTGTTCTGGTTCATCGGAGTTTTGTTCGTTCCTTCGTGAATCGCGAAGAAACTTTCTGTTATGTTAACAAGTGATCTGAGTTTTCTCAAAGTGCAAATGCTTTTTTAGTGTTGTTGAAAACTTTGCGAAAAGACGCTTTTGGTGTATAATATTATGTGTGTTCATAAATAAAGTAAAATTATTAAATTGAAAAGTTTTTGTTTATTTGCATTTCCATGTGCAATGTAGAATTTTTCCAAATCCATTGTTTTGAAAATAATACAATACGTACACCATAAAGATAAATACTTTCAAAATAATGGATTTGAAAAAATTCTACATTGTACATCAAAAAAACAATAATTCTTTGAAGGTTATGAGGGCCTATGTGTGCGTGAACTGTGTGTATGTGTGCGTGGACTTTATGTATGTATGTGTGCGTGTACTATGTGTGTATGTGAGCGTTACGTACGTAGGTTAAGTACAGCGAATTTAACACCAGGCTGTCAATTAGTAGGCTCAAAAATTTGACAGAGAGGGTTCTCTATTTCCTATGTATTACTTTTCTCTATGGTTTCACCACATGGTATTTATTTTGTGGATGTAGATTACTATTTATAAACTTCTAACAAACGACTAAATATGAGATAAATTTGTCATAATTCAAGAAATATATCTATTTTTACGTCAAAATGTCGCATCAACTAGGCCGTGTTGTCTCCGAACTACTCCTCAGATATTTTGGAGAAATAGTGGAAAAAGTCGGTAAAGATTTATTCCAGTATGGTAGTAAACCTATAGGCATGATTTTGAAAACGACTGGACTCCCAAGATCACAGGTAAACTACTGATATATCAAGGTTAACTTATGCACATATTTATTATCATAATTACCATTTCATGCCTTTGCTTTCATATAAATTCATTTCAGGTAGTAGACAGCCTCCGTACATTACTCAAATTTGATCTCGCAAGCTTTGAACCGTCAGCAAATGAAGTAATTGCCGATTATAAACTGATTCCTGAAAATGTTCTTCTGCTAATACGATATCCCAGGTAACTAAATAGTAATTTAGTATAAAATATTATAAAATTAAGTAAACGATTTTGATTTCAAGTCAAGGGACAGGGTTGAAACATTGTCAACTATAGGCATGTATTCAGTGGTTTATTTATGAAAAGTAAAAATATAGGTACCTATAAAAACTTATACATGAAATTTCTATTTAGGTACCTCCTTCAAATGAAGAGCAAATTCGGCAGCGAGGCAGAGTTACTGGTGGAAGAGCTGTTGCAACAAGCTACATGCACCGCCACGGTCCTTCTGGTCACATTAGCTAACAAATACAAAGATGATAAGGTAATTTATGCACTTCTTTATCTAATTTTGATACTCAGTGAAAATACCAACAATAACTGCCTTAAATTATTACTGAGGGGACAATAAAAGCCACTACTTTGCAATACCAATATTAATAAAATAACACTTCATTTTGCATCAAGGGTTAACAAAATGTAACTCATTACTATCGCCCTTTTCAGGAAAAGAACATAAACATAGTTCAACTGAAAGATGTATTCATAAGTCTAGCAACAGCGGGGTACATTCAACAAGCCCCCGTGGCGGAGCTAAAGGAAGGCAGTGAAATACCCACTCTAGTGCCCGTAGCTACAATCGTCCCAGACATTGATGTCAGGAACTTGATACAAATCATGAATTCTGGGACTTTAGCTGAAGTTAATGACAGTAAGTTTCAATGATTTGAACTCTTAGGCTGAGTTGCACCACCTAACTTTGACAGTAACTATGACGATAACCGGTATTTTTTGTATGGAGTATGACAGTTTTTTGACGTTTGTCAAAGTTAAAGTAAGATTGTGCAACCCAGCCTTAACTTTTCAGACTTTTAGAGTAGGCGCACACCGTTGATTTTTAGTTGGCCGATAGTTGCGCCCGATTTTAAATTGTATGAAGAATCAGTCAAATCGAATCGGCGTAGTGTGCGCACTCCCATATATACTGATCAACTGCCCGACTAAACTATCGGCTGACGAAAAATCAACGGTGTGCGCCTACTCTTACACTGACAAACATCTAAGATGTTTTCTTTTGATTAATTGTTGTGAAAAATATTAATTCTTTATTTTCTGTTTTACAGATGTCTACTGGAGGATAAACTATGACAGATTCCATCAGGACTTCAGAGATGAAATTATGATCAAAGCAATCACAAGGCGTATTGACGAAAATGGTGGGTCCATGTATTGTATTGTACTTGTTGTTTAACTAAACATAAAAATATTTAGCTACGAACATTATTTACACATAATTTTATTATTTTTTGGTATTCATGGTTTATCGCCGAGCACATAGAATTTCGTCCAATGATCCCAAGCTACACATCTCGCTAATTCGCTAACTCGTAATTATATTGCTGTCGTGACTGTGCGATGGGCGGCCGTAGTGACTGTGCGAGGGCGACAGCAACATAATTACGCTCGAGCGATAAGGGTGGGTAGCTTGGGGACATTGGACGAAATTCTATCTGCTCGGCGACCGGACTTTAGAAACTGTAGAATATTTTTCTACACACATACAAACTTTGCATCTTGTCAGCATTAGTCAGTAACTTCTTTTCAATAATGCCATGGTCTCACATTCCCGTGAGGGCGCGCAATCCGCATTCTTCATCGTGTGTTGGTTCCTGCTGAAAACCAGCTTCTCGACATGGCGCGCGAATATAGCTGATCGGACGCCTCTTCAGCATAGCTTGTAGTTTAATGTTATATGTACTGTATTTTTATATTTTTATTTTATTTTTCTATGCTGAATAAAGTATTCTTATTCATATATCCTGGTGTGCTGTAGCACAGGGTATCCTAGTACGGACACCAGTCTCTACGAAATACTTATTTTTGTTCCTTGTTGTTATAATTATCCGTTACAAATTGTGACTTTATGTATTTTGTAAAGAGAGAAATAAAGTTATTATTTATCTTATCACAGCGGGCGAGTTAATGAAGTTCCTGCTCCAACAAATGTACCTAACGTCGTCTCCGTGGGCGCCGGAATCCAACCCGACTTCGGCCCTGGACCTCAAGGAGTGCTGCCGACGCATCGCTAGCGAGCGGCCGCTGCTGCACCAGCACTTCGACCAGTACCTCAAAGTGTTAGGTAATAAACCTTTATCTATTTTGTTTTTAAAGTATATTTTTAGATCAACGTAGTTTGGTATAAGACAATGTGTGGCCAGTGACACCAACTGTGAGAAAATTATTTAAACTTGAAACGGCTTTGGACTTGAAGGAGTGCTGCCGGCGCGTGGCTACCGAGCGACCGTCGCGTTGCTGCATCAGCACTTTGACCAATAACCTAAGGAATTTTTAGACCAATGTCGTTTGATGAAAGTATTGGTTAAAATCAGCTTTTTGCTATGGTAAGCAGCCTAGATACGTATCATAACTTGGCTGGTTTTCAATCTTCATTGCACAAACAATAAATGTACAAATTCACAGTTGACAGCAAATCAGGCAGATGTGTTATTTCACAATAAAAATACGACGCTCGCGATTACCCAATGTCTTCGAAGCTCAGCGGTCAGAGTAGTTACCACCAGGCAAGCCAAAGGTTGTATTAAATTCTCCTAAAGCAATCAATTCTTTCAAGTAAATATTAAAGTTAGTATTTCGAGCATCGTCGTCTTGTCAGCGCAAGCGCAGCGTCAGCTGCCGACCACAGGATCTAAAGCCCGGTCTGTGAGCACGTAGAATTTTGTCCAATGACCCCAAACTACCCATCCTTATCGCTCGCGCGTAATTATATTGCTGTCACGACTGTGCGACGGGCGCCCGCAGTGAGTGTGCGAGTGCGACAGCAATATAATTACGCGCGAGCGATAAGGATGGGTAGCTTGGGGTCATTGGACAAAATTCTACGTGCTCGCAGACCAGACTATAGTAGGCCTAACTTTACCCCCTCAATGTAGAGGACAGCGGTGCGGGTTTTGTACGGCGCTGCGGGGAAGCGGGCGGCGGGCAGCTGGTGCGCGCGGGAAACTAGTCTCTATTGCGAGTGCGTTACGAGTCAGTGTCGTCCGCAGAGGACAGAGACGCAGGAAACTAAAGCCTGGTCCGTGAGCACGTAGAATTTTGTCCAATGACCCCAAGCTACCCATCCTTATTGCTCGCGCTTATTTATGTTGCTGTCGCGCTCGCACACTCACTGCGGGCGCCCGTCGCACAGTCGCGACAGTTATATAATTACGCGCGAGCGATAAGGATGGGTAGCTTGGGGTCATTGGACAAAATTCTACGTGCTCGCAGACCAGACTATAGTAGGTCTAACTTTACCCAATGTAGAGGACAGCGGCGCGGGTTTTGTACGGCGCTGCGGGGAGGCGTGCGGCGGGCAGCTGGTGCGCGCGGGAAACTGGTCTCTATTGCGAGTGCGTTACGAGTCAGTGTCGTCCGCAGAGGACCGCGACGCGGGAAACTAAAGCCTGGTCCGTGAGCACGTAGAATTTTGTCCGATGACCCCAAGCTACCCATCCTTATCGTTCGCGCGTAATTATTATGTTGCTGTCGCGCTCGCACACTCACTGCGGGCGCCCGTCGCACAGTCGCGACAGCAATATAATTACGCGCGAGCGATAAGGATGGGTAGCTTGGGGTCATTGGACAAAATTCTACGTGCTATAGTAGGCCTAACTTTACCCTCTCAATATAGAGGACAGCGGTGCGGGTTTTGTACGGCGCTGCGGGGAAGCGGGCGGCGGGCAGCTGGTGGTGCGCGCGCGGCGGGCGGCGGCGCAGCTGGTGGGCTCGCTGGTGGAGCACGCGGTACAGGAGCGACTGGGCTCCAAGGCCGCCAGGATATTCAGGTGTGTACCACGGAAGCGTTATTGATGTACACTGGACCGCAAAGAAAAGGGTCGGATATAAAATCTTCTAAAGCCCGGTTTGTGAGCACGTAGAATTTTGTCCAATGACCCCTAGCTATCCATCCTTATTGCTCGCGCGTAATTATATTGCTGTCGCGATTGTGCGACTGCGACCCGCAGTGAGTGTGCGAGAGCGATAGCAACATAATTACGCGCGAGCAATAAGGATGGATAGCTAGGGGTCATTGGACAAAATTCTACGTGCTCACGGACCGGGCTTTATATCTTCAACAGTACCTCAGATCAGGTCATTGTCTCCACTGCAGGAGCACTAAGCGATTTTCTATATTTATAAAAGGCAAATAGAGGATCTAGCCTACACTCCCCATGCATTTTAGGAGTGGGGAATGCATAAGTTAACATACGTAGAAAAAGTGTTGTTAAAAATATATTTAATAGGAAAAGCCTTCCTTTCTATCTTTCTTTTACCTACTAAAGTTTCTCAGAGAATCTAGATCTATCAGTGTATCTCTTCCATATAATTATTTGATTAACATAATAATTTTATTGTACTTACCAATGATACTTCAGCATCTTGCCTTCAGTAAAATGCTTGATAACACCAACACAGATCACTTGACACACACGACTAGTCTTTATCACTACGCAAGCGCGCTCAAACAACACGTCCGCACGCCACGGCGGTTGACAAGAGACTGCCCAAGCTTAGCAATCCCAGTGTTACCTACCTACTTTTTACAATTATTATTATTTTAATAGAAAATAGCACTTATTACAACTATTTATGGGTGGTTCTAAATAACTACTGAATTATTCGAATTATCTGACAAAATAAATTTTCGGCAAATAATATTATACCTACTACATTGAGAGACACACTTAAGTAACTATTTTTAATTGATTTTCCAGGTTGATCCGAGCAAAAAAATATATAGGGGAAGAAGATATTCAGAAGCACGCAATGTTGCCCAACAAGGAATGCAAAGAACTCACCTACAAGTTGTTGGAGGAACATTTTATTAGCGTTCAGGTACTTTTTTATTACTGAAATCCGGTTAAAGCCAATATTTGAATAAAAAAAGCTGTTTTATATTTATTTGTTATAATATGTTTCAGCCAATGAGGAAAGCGGCATCTGCAGGTGGAATGGCGAAAGCTATTTACTTGTATCACGTCGATCTACATGACGTAAGTATTTTACTTACAGTAGAATGTAAAAGGTGTTTGTAAATATTTTCCTTTGTGAAATATAAAATACTCTCACTAGTTAGCGCCATTGACAGGCTGTTAGGTTCAACAACGGCGCCAAATGATTAAGCGCAAATACGTAGGGCTCGCACGCACGGGTAACTTTTGTCGTTGTTTTTAGTTAGGATTGGTGTAGGTAACCTTAATTAAGTAAATAATATTGGATAGGATAGAGAAGCTGTCGTAAGCAAAATTCTTGGCTCCATTTTAAAAAGAATTAAAACAACTAAAGTTTGCTGCAGCTGCTGTATTAGTTCTGTCGGCTAACCAAACTTGAAACATGCTAGCTAGATCGTTTACATGAATGTCAGTCTTATTAACGTAAGGTTGAACAGTGCGAGTGTTTGGATGCTAGTATTTTAAGCAGGGCTTAGTGGAGTTTACATCAAACGTCGTCACTAGTAAGAAATGACATTAAATGTATGACGGATTGTACAGCGTCCCTAGCGGTACTTTCACGAACTAACACATATTTTTTAACGTGCTCACTAGTAAGGACGTTTGATTTAAACTCACACTAAGGCCCGGTTTTTTGATTCGTAGTTAAAATAACCAATGGTCAAATTTGACAGATGTCAAATGACAAGTGGTTAAATATAAGGAAAAAATGTTTTTCGAACAATGGTTAGTTTGACTTTTAGTACATTTTTTAACTATTTGCTTACATTTTGTTAATATTTAACCATTAGTAGCAAAATTTAACAATTAGTTATTTTAACTTAGGCCCGGTTTTTTGATTCGTAGTTAAAATAACCAATGGTCAAATTTGACAGATGTCAAATGACAAGTGGTTAAATATAAGGAAAAAATGTTTTTCGAACAATGGTTAGTTTGACTTTTAGTACATTTTTTAACTATTTGCTTACATTTTGTTAATATTTAACCATTAGTAGCAAAATTTAACAATTAGTTATTTTAACTTAGGCCCGGTTTTTTGATTCGTAGTTAAAATAACCAATGGTCAAATTTGACAGATGTCAAATGACAAGTGGTTAAATATCAGAAAAAAATGTTTTTCGAACAATGGTTAGTTTGACTTTTAGTACCTACATTTTTTAACTATTTGTTTACATTTTGTTAATATTTAACCATTAGTAGCAAAATTTAACAATTAGTTATTTTAACTAAGAATCAAAAAACTGGGCCTAAGCCCTCAAGAGGTTTTTACGCGTTCTCCAGGTGGCGCACAGCACAGCGCAGATGTGCTACGCGGCGCTTCACAACACGGCGCGGCGCGGCACGCACGAGCGGCGCCAGCACGCGCGTCTGCTGCGCAAGCAGCGCCGCGTGCGCACCATCGTGCACGGCATGCGGCTGAGGCACGAGCCGCAGCAGCACATTGATGACGTGAGTACACACAGACAACATGACAGAAACACTTCACCGTTCATAGTCATATAGGTACGTCACCGTCTGCACGCGCGTCTCCTGCGCAAGCAGCGCCGCGTGCACGGCATGCGGCTGAGGCACGAGCCGCAGCAGCATATTGATGACGTGAGTGTGCAACCAGGCTATATGCTCGCTCATACATAGCTATAGTCTGGTCTGTGAGCACGCAGAATTTCGTCCAATGACCCCAAGCTACCCATCCTTATCGCTCGCGCGTAATTATATTGCTGTTGTGACTGTGTGACGGCCGCAGTGAGTGTGCGAGACGTTAGACAGAGATGCGCATCATCGTACATAGTCATATAGGCGCATCACCGTCGCACGCGCGCCTTCTGCCGGCAAGTCCGGTCGCCGAGCACGTAGAATTTCGTCCAATGACCCCAAGCTACCCATCCTTGTCGCTCGCGCGTAATTATATTGCTGTCGCGACTGTGCGACGGGCGGCCGCTGTGAGTGTGCGAGACGTTAGACAGAGATGCGCATCATCGTACATAGTCATATAGGTACATCACCGACACACGCGCGTCTGTTGCGCAAGCAGCGCCGCGTGCGCACCATCGTGCACGGCATGCGGCTGAGGCACGAGCCGCAGCAGCACATTGATGACGTGAGTACACACAGACATAACATAAAGTTCGGTCGCCGAGCACGTACAATTTCATCCAATGGGCTTATTCCACTATTCGGAATTAGTGAACTTTTTGTTCACTATTCCCCGTTAACCAAATTGGAACTTATAATGGGGAATTATGAACTAAAAAGTTCATTAATCCCATTACGTTAAAAATAAAATCCTAATTTAACGGGGATTAGTGAACTTTTTAATTCATTATTCCCCATTATAAGTTCCAATTTGGTTAACGGGGAATAGTGGAATAAGCCGTCCAATGACCCCAAGCTACCCATCCTTATCGCTCGCGCGTAATTATATTGCTGTCGCGACTGTGCGACGGGCGGCCGCAGTGAGTGTGCGAGACGTTAGTTAGACAGGAGATGCGCATCATCGTACATAGTCATATAGGTGCATCACCGTCGCACGCGCGTCTGCTGCGCAAGCAGCGCCGCGTGCGCACCATCGTGCACGGCATGCGGCTGAGGCACGAGCCGCAGCAGCACATCGACGACGTGAGTGCACACTGACAACATAAAGTCCGGTCGCCGAGCACGGAGAATTTCGTACAATGACCCCAAGCTACCTATCCTTGTCGCTCGCGCGTAATTATATTGTTGTCGCGACTGTGCGACGGGTGGCGGCAGTGAGTGTGCGTGCTCAGCGACCGGACTTTAGACAGAAATGCGCATCATCGTACATAGTCATATAGGCACATCACCGTCGTGCACGGCATGCGGCTGAGGCACGAGCCGCAGCAGCACATCAACGACGTGAGTGCAAACACTCAACAATTTGAAAAGCAACATAGTTACACAATAGTCGCACAACTTGCGATGACGCGACGGCACGGCTTGCGATCACAAATACAAATTTATTTATTCGCAAGCAATGATCCCAGCTTCTGCAGTGCGACAACATCGCGACAGCATCGCAAGTCGCGACTGTATTGATGCAAAAAGTAGCGCAAGTGTGTAAAGGTAGACCATTTGCGACTAAATCGGTGCTAAAAATCGCACTGTATAAAGGACCTTAGAGCGAAGCCACACTGTTTAGTTTCGTTGTGAGTTGTGACATTGCTACCTAATATTTGAAAACATTCAGGGCCGCACCGGTGTGTGTAGAGCTATTTACTGCCCAAGAGAGTTGGATCCCCGCATTTTACAAGTGTCTCTTGAGTGCGACACCCATGATGCTGAGTAGTAAAGAGAGATCGATATGTATATCTTTTACATTGCTATGTTTAATAATATCTACAGGGTGTTAGATAAATGGGTATATGAGCCGACACTAGCCCATGTTAAGATGGGCATATAAATGGTATGGTGAATTCAGAAAATTGATATCTTCATTTTAATTATTTAAATTTTCATACAAATCGGATTTTATTAAATTTATTTTGTATGAAAATTAAAAAAAATAAAATGATGATATCGAATTTCTGACTTCACCATACCATTTATATGCCCATGTTAACATGGGCTAGTGTCGACTCATATACCCATTTACCTAACATCCTGTATATTTCTATACTTACCTGAATTCATTTTTAATTTTATCAAGCATTATTTGGTATTAACAGTTATAAATTATAACCAATTCGATCAATTTCCAGGTGGAAGAGACCCTGACGCCGCCGGAGCGCGCGTCCCTGGCCAGCGTGGAGGCGCGCCTAAAGCAGCTTGCCACCGCCGAGCTGGAGCTCGACCGCGCGCTCTTCATACTCGACTGGTTCTTCGCCTACCCGCGCTAATCACGCTTGGACTGATCACGTGACGCGGGCTAATCACGTGACGCGGGCTGGTCACGTGACATCGCCGCATTGATTAGTGATCGCCTGTGAGTTCTCGGCGTTGTTCTCGTGGTTATTGACTACAGTGTGGTTGCCAGACACTTAGCCTATGCACAGACCATCGATTTTTCGTCGGCCGATAGTTTAGTCGGGCGGTTGATCAGTATGGATATATTGGGCATGTATGGAAGTGCGCACATTACACCGAATTGATTTGGTCGATTCTTCATACAAATTAAAATCGGGCCCAACTATCGGCCAACTAAAAATCGATAGTCTGCGCCTAGGCTTATATTATAGATCGTTTAATCCAAGGTGTGATGATTACGGACAAATAAGTGTTACAGTGACATTTAGGTGCTATTGATTTTATGGTAACCTTGTAAGGTTTGTTTTTGTGCTAAGGGGATGTTGACGTCACTTAGCGTGACCGACCAGGTCACGCTAAGTCCTGCCCTTCGATTCGTTCGTTCGTTTCAGCCGAAAGACGTCCACTGCTGGACAAAGGCCTCCCCCAAGGATTTCCACAAAGACCGGTCATCTTCGGAAAGGAGAAGAAAATAATTAACTTTTTAATTGGTTCAGTTGAAAGTGATTGAGATATATCAATGAAATGATGAGACTGTTGGTACTTTTATCCGACTATATTATACGAATAAGTTCGTATAATTTACAGATATTTATACTATGAACATGTGTATTTATAGACTAATTCATTATTAGGTACACACTGTAATACACTTAGGATTAATCGAAATATCTTATAAGGATTTTGTTTTGTAAATAAAAGTCATACAAGTTACGTTCTTAAAATTTTATTTGACCCCATTGAAACTCAATAGTCATTCAAACAATGTACAACCTATTAGTGTCGATCGATATTATATAATTATAAAATATATCCGACTATCTACATCAGCAGCCATTCCACACGAAAAATGAAATTAAATGTGCATTTTACATAATTTTTAAGCAAAATATATCTTCAGGGAAAAGAAACAGGAGTTCTCTTTAGCATTATTATGTTTTGTCTTTCTCTGTTAATACCTAAGTGTAAAAATGACAGAACATAGTTGATTCACAAATCGGCAATTTAAAACCTAACTGGGCAGGCTTCAATAAACAAAACCTCTATTAACATCTCGGATAAAACTTTAAGATATGTTAATAAATATTGCATTAATATACCAAAGCTGAGAAAAATTATGTACTGTTGTATTCAGCCGCCCATATCTACCCAACCAACCAAAATGACAATTAATCAACATTATTATAATCATCAATTAATATTAACAAGTATATAGTTATGTATGTATGTAGTAAACACCTGTTATACAGTGACACCTATTAATTTATTATTAATTACAGAAATCGACCGTTGCATGTCTTGACTTCACTACAGAAATTAAATAATTTTCCTATAAACATTGTTCTATTGCGTTTTTACTAACCCATATTTTTACAAAATTAAAAAATCACATTTATTTTCTACGTAATTGCAGCTATAGTTAGTCACTGGCAGATATTATAATGATGGAACTAGGTTTGAGGTGCCAATATTATAACATAGACGTTAATGATGAACGTAAATGTTTTTTGGATATCAATGCCGTTTCTATTCTAAAGTTATGAGTATTAAAGAGCATAATCGTCTGTCGAAATATTGCTGATGATTAATCCACCTAGAAATAAAAAAATAATACGTAACTGTAGTGATTTGATATTCCACCTTAAATATTTCAGTAAATACAATACATTCACACTTCTTACAAGCAACGGTCGTATAAATATCCACTTCAAGCTAATATTAAGACTATTTATTTCGTCTAAATTAAAAAGTCGAATATTTACATTTCGTTAGTGTTCACAGCCTGATGTCGTGTGTAGCTAACATTAATTATTATAAGAGGTCTCCGACACATCTTCCGTACTGTAGTTAGAAGAAAACCGCCTTCGTGAATATAATAACACAATAATTATCATCAGTTCACTCATTTTGAATACGACTCAAGAGATTTACTGGACTGTATCATTAAAAACCACAAAAGTTCCCTAAACATCGTTAGCCACGACGAACGACATCACACATCGCGTCATAAACACTCAGTAATTTGTTCGAAAGATCTATTCTATAGAAATATTAAAATACAGTGAAGACATCGATCTATCTGCCTACATTCACTTAACGCGAACAAACCGACACCTACATTATTCAGACTATACATACTTGAGAAGTTTACAAAAGCCGCTATGTAATTATTGATTAAACTTTATAATTATTACGATCGAAATTATCTTCGAAGCGACATCTATTTACACGTCTTTTTTATTTATTGAATTCCACTTTTGACCAAAAATGAAGACGCAACTAAACGGTGCTGACATCTAGCGTCTATTATGAGAATAAAATTAAAAGCCATGAAAATGGAATTCAACAAACACCGCTTTATCGATTTAGTAAATAATTATCTTAGATCACTAAACGCTTGTGAAATCTAAATAAAGGAAGACGAAGCGAACGAAAATAAAACATGCAAATAAATTTGTATTATTTTATTTATAAACTAGGTATTTTACACAACTTAACAAAATACATACATACAGCAACTGAACAGAGCAACCAAAAATTTATACCATTCATACGGCATCACTTTATACAGAACGTGGTTGCTGCGCCGAGGCCGCGCGCGACGCTTGCGCAGAAAATAATGTGCTTCCAAAGTACAACAAGACAAACATGTTTATTTTCAATATCTATTTGTGATACAACTAATTTCATTCTAATTTTACTAAAACCTCAGGCAAAATTAACATGCAAGTATGTAATAATTTACTAATGCATTTATTGTGCTCTACAAAACAAATTTCTGTATGCTACTACATGATGATTATGAAATTGTTTCTTGAAAGTTAGTGACTGTTGTTGGCAAACATCAACTTTTAATCCGTCTAAAACGCGTAAAAACTCCAGTAATCGCATCGTTAAAAGCCAATTTTGTGTGGATAGTGATTGGTTATCAACTTTGATAGTTATTTTAAGACACAATTTCATAATCACCCTGTATGTGCGTCGGGCGGCCTCACGGTTAGTGAATGGCAAGATTATTCTTCGCAGTCGTTGTCCGCCGAAAGCAAGCAGCAGTCGAGACATGAATCAGCTATTTCAGTTCCTATTTTAATACTGCTAAAGTGTAAACTCAATTAGCGAGTCCTCAGTTTCATCCATGTTTCATCGAGTAAATAATTTCATTTGTACTATCACAAAATATTTGCATAATTATTGTAATAACGGTGAGGATTGCAGTGTAGGACGATGTGATTGTTGCACGGAGAATAATTATTTCAATATTTGTAAACTTACAACAAAAATTAAGGCTAAGCCGAATAATCTTTAGATAAATCATATGTACCAATTTAAAAACGAACATATACTATAGCTATCTTATAAAAAATGCCAAATAAAGAATAACTATAGGTTGCGTTACGAGTGGTGTAAATAAACATATAAAAGCTCTATTCGATATTTACAAAATAATGGACTCTGGTAACAGTGTAAAAGCATTAAAAACTTGCAAAATAGCAGAAATACGGCAGTAACAAAACAGAATTTGTGTGGGGGTGTTATGTTCGCGCATTCGATTTATATTAGGCGTATACAGTGACGTCATAAGCAAGACTTGCAAATTTCACAGTTATACTAATGCGCTATAACTAAAATTTACGTCGCAGTCCACACGGCAGTCGCCGTGCTCGTGTGTGTGTAATATGTGTGTAAGTCCCGCGTTGCGTGTTCATTCCCATAAATTTATTATTTTATGCTACAACTAGCGCAGTAAATAGACAATTTAAAAATAAAAAGTCCCAATTTATTGCAAAAACTTATCACAAAATCAATAGTCCCGAAAACGACTCCTTAATGAATTATCAAATACTATTTACAGCAAATGAGAGTTAATTTATACACTCCGTTTGTTTCACTACACGATTTGTCATTTAAATTTTATAAATAGTAACGTTATATAAATTCATGTTGATGGCCTAAATTATAATACTAAAGATTTGTATTTTGTCAATAGCCAGATGAAGTGCAGCGATCCGTCCTCAAGGCAGCCACTCGACCATCACGCGCCTAACTTATAATTTCGATACCTTATTCCGAATATCTAATAATTTTAAACATATTTCGGCAGCATGATTCCTATACGATTTATAATTTACGCGGTGAGATAATATACAATTCGCTTATAAAGCTATCCAGAAAATTAAACGGTGACGTTTTAAATCGAAGATGTCACTCGCGATGTTATCTAATGAAGCTGGAGTGTGCGTTTGTTTTTGTGTTGCGTTTGGGTCTCATCCTTGGGCGGCGCAGACACCACGAGTCAGGACACTAGAATGCCTTACATGACATCGCGTTTACAGGAATTTACTATTTAAGACTGACGGCAAACACGACGTATTTGCTAAATGCGTTAACTATTCATGTGTCATGTTTCTCAATGTCTGCACGAGGCCTAGCCGCTTGAAAGTGCATTACACGGGGAACCGTCAGGCTCGTAGCACTGTACCATGACGCCCGTAGCACTGTTACATTGCGTAGCACTGTCAACGCGTAGATTAATGCCGCTTTGAACGCCCACTTCGTAACTACGCTACGCAGTTCAAAAGCGGCATCATTCCACTCATAGTGCCACACGCCGCATCGCTACGATTACTCGTAGCACTGTCCATGTGGCGTCAAAAGTCGTAGCACTATTCCCTCGAGACGTCATGTCATAGGAATGTGCCGTATACTGGTAGCTGTCCACACGTGGCGTCATGATATTCGTAGCACGTTTCCCATGCGGCATGACTCCCCGGAGCGCCCGGGCTCATGCCCCGTTAGAGAACACCGCGAGGCAGGAATCAGGTCTAGCTCACTGAACACATGGAGTCCCCGCGACGCCCCGCCCCTCCCCCGCGCAGCTATTACAATATGCAGCAGGATGCCGAACAACAACTGCTGGAGCCACCTTTGCTCTTTTGCCGTTGGTCTGAAAAAAGAGACAAAATATATTTCAGACATTTCCTCTTTACTTAATTAACAGTTATTGCATGGGAGGTGTGATATACATACTATACTTTTTCTATACTACAGTACACAAGGAAATATTGATTTGTTATAGAATAATTAGTATCACTTTTTTATGTTACTACATACGTATCATATTAACTAACTAAGTAACTAATTATTGTCTAAATGAAAAAATAGCTGGCGAACTTACAAAAGGAAAGGGGATGATAGGATAGGGAAGGATTGGTTTGTGTTAACTCCATCGGACTTCTGGAAATAAATAAACAGAAGAAGAAGGTATTTTTATGGTTGTACTATTTCAGTAGCATTTAAACTTTATTTGAAAAGATTTGTAGCAGAAAAGTATTTCTTTAAGTCCCGTAAGCCCCTCGTGGTGGTAAGCTAAATATGCTTGTGTTACGAGTGGGCTCACCACAACAGGCGAGCGGCGGTGGGATTCGAACCCGCGATCCTCCGATCTCCAGTCCAACCACTTTACCGTTCGGCTATCGTGGCTACAAAAAAAACCTCATGTGTGGACCGACGATCTGATTAATGTCTCGGGAAGTACCTGGATGCGAGCAGCTCAGAACCGGTCGTTATGACAATCCTTGGGAGAGCCATTTGGTCAGCAGTGACGTCATCAGGCACTCACCGTGCGAGTTGGGCTCGGGCAGGTGCTCGCGCGGCACGAGGTGCATGACGGTGGTGCGGCCGAGCGGCAGGCCGAGCGCGCCCAGCGTCACGGAGCTGTGCAGGAAGCGGCCCTGGTAGATGAGCCGCAGGATCGCCGGCAGTGACGTCATCAGGCACTCACCGTGCGAGTTGGGCTCGGGCAGGTGCTCGCGCGGCACGAGGTGCATGACGGTGGTGCGGCCGAGCGGCAGGCCGAGCGCGCCCAGCGTCACGGAGCTGTGCAGGAAGCGGCCCTGGTAGATGAGCCGCAGGATCTCCGCGCGCGACACGCACTCCGACGCCCAGTCCGCTGGAAAACACAATTTATATAAATTAGTAAGAGTTCTCGAGTGGCGACCACGGGCCGGAAGACGTAGTGTGGGCAGGCCCCCCACTATGTGGACCGATGATCTGAGGAAGGTCCTTTTGGAAATCCTTGGGGGCCTTTATCCAGCAGTGGACGTCATTTGGCTGAAAAAAGTGAAAAAAAAATTCGTGTGGCTTTAGGGCAGTTGAACCGCGGCTCAATAGGGTGGTAGTTGATTCACTACAGTTGACATACTTTTTATGAGCTGGCAAAACTTGGATTATGACGTCATGAGATCGCAAACCCAACTAATTAATAAAGTCGATTGATTTTTTATAAGCTGTCAAAACGTGATTAGCTACAGAATTTTGATTGATATCAGTCTGTAAAAAATATTAATATTTTTTTTAACAGAAACAAAGTGAATTCTTTTGAAGTTTTATTTTAGTGAAAAAACAACTATTTAAATGTCATTGAATTTATATAATTTTTATACGTAACTACTAATTTATTTTTGAATAGTTTTTAATTATAACTTTTTATTTTGAAAATACTAAAATACATTAAAAATATTGAGTAATTCTCGATTCTTTGAGGAAAACCTTGCATATCAAGTTTATTGAGTACTTTATTACAAAAGTATTTTTAAAATGGGTTCAGTTGTGAATGTTTTACCTAAAAAGTATTATTTATTAGTGATAATGTGACATTTCCGAACAAATATTTTTCCTTTTAAAAAAACGTTTTTGAAAAACACGAGATAATGGTATTAAAATCCAAAATGCCAGAATGCTATTACATTATCAAATTGATAATATAAGGTACTTTTCGCTGATAAAATGTAAAAAAAATGAAACCAAACTGTACAAAAACGTTTGCAATGTTGATGAGTATAAGATGCCCCCAGAGAGATTTGAACTCTCGACCCCTGGTTTACAAGACCAGTGCTCTAACCCCTGAGCTATGGAGGCTTACAATGCGGCGGCGTAAATGTGGATGGGTATTGACGCCACGCTTGCTCACCCACACAGATAAACCGCGATTATTATACACTACACACGCAAACTAGTGTTTGAGTGAAATATTAGTCGCTAGATGGCGTTAATAGTAGAAACTTGATGAGAAATTGTGTTAATTCAACTTTTTCTTTATTTAACTATTTAAACTAAAATAAGATGGAGCTTTTCATTTTAAATTTCAAATATAAGATCTATAAAAATAGAACATTTGTTATTTATACCGTATACTATAACGATCGTTAATTAAGTTGATATCGAAAGTTTTAGTAGCATATTGGTTAACTTTCCGGCGACCAAGAAACTTATCAGGTACCTATCTTAATGGAAAATTTTATCGAAAAGATTATAGGGTTTGCGCTTTAATTTAATTTGTTTAAAGCCATAATTTAGGTGTGGTCTATCGGCTATCGCAGTTTAATGTACGAGTGTATCGCGTGATCCGTTTCTGTTTGTTACTGGCATCAATTTGATCCTTAATTTGTGGGTGTTAGAGTCGTAATCGTGTTGTGTTGCACTCGGGTACAGTTAACGCTTGCAGCGGGTTCTGTATCACCGCTGGCAGCACTGTAGTAACTTTGGCCGAACGTACGGCGACAATAACTCGCCTAGGGAACTACAGCCTTGGCCAAAAGTATTGAGCACCCATGTTATTTATTAATTTTGAAGGAATTATACATGTGTCTGAATCAAAACAGTTTTTAACAGTTTTATATTGTTTATTTACAACAAAAAAATAATACTTTGTTGGACCACCCTTCGCCTTAATTACTGCAGAAATTCTTTTTGGTAAAGATTGTACTAATTTATTACAATCGTCACATGTTAAAGCGTTCCACTCTTCTCGCAAGCGATGTTTTAGGTCTTCTTTTGTTATTATTGAATGGCGCCGGACCTTGCGCTTCAATAGACCACACAAATGCTCGATGAGGTTCAGGTCTGGTGACTGGGCAGGCCATTCAAGCAGCTCGATGTTATTGTCACTAAACCAAGCCATCTTTCGGTCAGCTTTGTGACAAGGTGCGTTATCCTGCTGGAATTTGACGCTCTTCATGTTGATGTCACCAAAAAGTGTTGTAAACGAGGGCAGAAGTGCGGATTCAAGAGCGTTTATGTACTTTGTAGAGTCCATGCGTCCTTCACACACAAACATTTCCCCAACTCCTGCGGCGCTCATGCACCCCCAGACCATCACACTGCCGCCGCCGCGTTTGACGGTAGGTACCACACACTCCGGGGTAAATTCTTCGTCTACTCGACGACGGACAAATGTCACACCAGGTGTGCCAACAATCTGTAAAGTAACGAAATTTTGTTAAGTGTTTTTCGGTCCAATATTTATTTTTACAAATATAGTTTTATAATATTATTGTCGCGTATTGTTATTACATGATATTGGCTAACTTACCTCAAAGTTTGATTCATCTGACCACACAATGTTTTTCAAATCTTCCTCAGTGAAAGTTTGGTATTTTAAAGCCTACTCGTAACGAGCTGTTTTGGTCTTTTCTGAGAGCCATGGCTTCTTTCTGGCTGTATAGCCCTTAAGCCCAGCTTCTTGGAGTCTTCTGCGAGTTGTTCTTGCAGAAATTGGCGTATTAATTTCAGCTGATAACTCAGCAGCGAGGTCGGAAGAAGTTTTTTTATGATTTTTCAAAGACTAACAATACTACAGTATCATAGCTAAACATCTCGAAACGTGTTTTATTGCACGTTGTGCCGTGAGTTTATGTTTCAAAACCTGTCAAGGAAAGGTTTTATCAAATATCTTTGAGTATCTTTTATAGTTATCATGTATAAGCAGTATTTAGGGGGTGCTCAATACTTTTGGCCAAGGCTGTATGCTCGCTCTCGTGAATTCCGATTTTAATTCTTGGCTTGGCTGTTTCGGAAATAGGGAATTGGGACTTTGTCTCGTTCTTTTGGCTTTGACTTTACACACTGTAAAAGTTAAGCTTTCTAAAAACATTGTATTTAAAATTACACACAAAATCACCCTACCTTTTACCATCTGTAATCTGTAAATCCAGTTGGTAGGTATGTTTCACTACTACAATATCAAATAAAGATGTTTGTTTTGCAAACTCTACAACAAACTAATGATGTTTACACAGGTGCATTATGTTTACTATTAACAGACCATTCAGTTTTGTTAAACATATTTTTGACAAGATTTTATTAATAATCAGTACAACGCTTCATATAAAAAATATTATTTTATTTTTATTTTCGCTTATTCGCATTAATTTTGCAAAAACAATTTTAAATGCCAGGATTATTATTATTAAATCATATCTTAATGTTGTAAATAATATTATAATACACAACAAAAACAAAATAATAAAGTTGGGCGTATGTGATTCACAAGGTGCTCCTCCATTAGAAAATGCTGCATTTTATTATGCATATTATAGTCATCAATTATAATAAATGACAAACGGTCTCTACGTAAACAGCTGGACTGAAAATGTAGTCACTGACCTTCCGCAAGGCTGAACAAGACAACTCGGATTCAGACTAATTACTTGTTTTTGTCCCCTTGTTACGTATGCGCGAGCCACGTAAGTCCACGCCCAATTCTTGTAGTAATGACCGAAACATATCTTTATTTTGTGTTGACTTGTGCTTTTTATTTCGACTAAAACACACTAATTTGGGTTAGCAGAACAAAAATAATGTAAACACGAAAAAATATTTATGTTCTTTCTTATAATTATTTACATTATCATTCCCTCCCATTGACAGCGCGTAGGCAGTCCCGTCCTATTTATTTAGCGGCACAAATAACAATTATTTTTACGTTATTGCTAATGTTTTAGAGTTCAATATAACAGGGCCCGAACACTACACTCGAAGTTGTCGACAATTATGTATACCTGGGACAAACAGTCCAGTTAGGTAGGTCCAACTTCGAGAAAGAGGTCAATCGTCGAATCCAACTCGGATGGGCAGCGTTCGGGAAGCTTCGCCATATACTCATGTCCGAAATACCGCAGTGTCTCAAGACGAAAGTCTTCGAGCAGTGTGTGTTGCCAGTGTTGACATATGGATCCGAAACGTGGTCGCTTACTATGGGCCTCATAAGAAGGCTCAAGGTCACCCAAAGGGCGATGGAGCGGGCTATGCTCGGAGTTTCCCTGCGTGATCGAATCAGAAATGAGGAGATCCGTAGGAGAACCAAAGTAACCGACATAGCTCGCAGAATTGCTAAAATCAAGTGGCAGTGGGCGGGGCACATAGCTCGTAGAGACGATGGCCGTTGGGGCAGGAAAGTTCTCGAGTGGCGACCACGGGCTGGAAAACGTAGCGTGGGCAGGCCTCCTACTAGGTGGACCGACGATCTGGTAAAGGTCGCGGGAAGAGCCTGGATGCGGGCAGCGCAGGACCGTTCATTGTGGAAAACCTTGGGGGAGGCCTTTGTCCAGCAGTGGACGTCATTTGGCTGAAACGAATAACAGGGCCCGACAGCCGTAAATAAACCATAATAAGCCGGTTTCGTGCCAAACAAGTGCCAGTGTCGAGTTTCTGAAATATTTGTAGGAAACAATGTCGAGAACAGCTGCGGACCTGACGGTAGCTAACGCTGTTTCTATTTGTACAGTCGTATTATTTTATTGTGACTTGTAACACGATGCATAAGCGCATTAATCATTTTGCACGTTTGGAAATGCTGCAAAGAATTATATTACAAAATTTACTATTTTCAAGCCACAAATTGAATGACAGTTAATTTACATTAAAAATGAGTTACCGGATAAGATGGCATTGACCTCAACAACAAGAAGCAGTTAGATAAGGAGACATTTTTCATTTTCTTCCATTGAAATAAAATTATCTCGTTATATTACGCTTTTGTTTGTTATTAACAACTTAACACTAATATTTTAAGTCATACAAACTTATGAACTTGTAAGTATAGCGCCATTAACAGTGTACAAATAGTAAACCAGTCTTTAAATTTACGTCATCAGAGCTGAATTTGTCCTCGTAAAAACACGCTCGGAGCAACGTGCAGTATCCGCGTCTGTTTCCCCATTCAGACAGATACGAGCATCTATCCCCTCGCAAATGTTTGCGCTCCCACTTCCTCCCCGCTTAGGGTATTGCAATTTTTGCAATAAGTTTGCACGACAATTTATCATACATCTATCGAATTGCCCGACGCGAATGATACAAATGGTTGAGGAATTTATGTTACTTTCGGAACTGTTTAGGTATATTACTAAACAGATAACGTCGGTGTAATTCAATCAAAAGCAAATTTCCTAGATGCTTAGGTACGTGCACTACTCATCGATTCAGACAGGATAACACCGGAATAATATCCTCGTTCTCGTTCCGCAAATAAAATCACACAGGCGGATGTATGGCACGTACGGATCCGGGAATTCGGAACTTCGCGACACCCCGGTTGCTGAAGACCGAATATTATTATTTTGTTTGCGTCTATTATTTTCTGGGAATTTCCCCAAGACGCTTTTTAAGAGAGTCACTTGGGACCATTAGACTTCCATATCGTATGTCTTGACTATGAGTATTTTTGTTACGTAGCATCACATAAAGGTAACATTTTAATAAGTTTATCTTAACAATTTATTTCAAAACACGAGCTCAATGTTCCGGTAAACAGAGAGAGACAATACAAGGCGTGCTATCGACAAGGAACTTTCCCCGATTGAGGTTTGAATGGCAAATGAGCAGTCTGTACACGGAGATAGCCCACACACTCAACCGCAGAACGAGCTATTAAATGTTTCAAGTGCCACTTACGCAACATGTAACTGGGTTACCAAAGTATACTATGTATGTATGTACATTTTGATCTGCTACATTACTTCGTCCGAAGTACATAATATTTTTTTTTTTTATGCATAACAAGGCAGGTATTTGACCACAATCGCACCTGATGTTAAGTGGGATGCGGTCTAGGATGGTACATATCTGCCCTGTAAGTGCCTATTCACTCTCGCCTTGAAAAGGCCCGGATTATATTATATGTGTTTATCTTCGTTATTTAACTTAGAATTATGCCCGACCTCTCAAGTTGACTCTTTAAGAAAATTTACTAAATCAACTTTGAATGTATAAGTAACCAACAAACTTCGTAAGCCGAATTTCATTTATATTCGGACATCAAAGAACCATGCAAATTTGAAAGGCGTCTGATGTAAAAGCATTTCTGAAAATGCGATAACACAACCCTCATCAACATTAATATAAAACTTGTCAGGCTCTGCCTTTTTCTAAGATGAAAGATATCATTACCTTGGCACCTCATTAATTTCTTCGGCGACAGACTTCAAATTCACCGTGTCATTGGTTTTCCCTTTGTGAGCGAAAAACCCAAGGAAAGTCCGTAGTCATCATTGCACTTTATAGCCATAATTCGATTTCCATAGCTGTCACGGCAGCTGCACCCCAGTGAACACCCCCATTCTCATAACGGATATTTATTAGGCCATTTCGAGGTACGTAAACAACAAATAGCCACTTTCAAAAGAGTTTGTAAATTGATATACAGAATGTTCTTCGAAATTCAAAGAGTACTTTGTACTTTGAGGATATGAAATCTTTTATTTGAATGAAGCATTCTTTGTTTGTATGGAGATATCGCCCAATTTAAGTATAATATGTGTGTCACAGTGAAACGATTTATTCTATCATACCATAATGGTTATTGTTCTCATAGATCATTAATTTCGAAAGCGCTGACTTTCACAATAGCTCACCCTCGAAAATACAAGCCATTTAATTAATTTAAAGTGTGACTATTGATGTCAAAATCAATAAATTATTTTAGCAAGTATTTTTCTGACTCAATATTCGACCAAAAAAAGTTCTACATTTGTAAGTGATTCTTTACGTATCAATGATTAGTTAAAAGAAAATAAGGTCCCACCTTCCGGCCAGTTGTCGTAGACGTGTATGGCGATGTCGCCGGCCGAGTCGACGGGACTGAAGACGAACTCCTTCGTCTTGCCGGACACCAGGATCAGCCGCAGGTTTATCTGGAATTAGATAAAGAAACAGTTAGAATTAAAGGGAATAATGCATACGATCTCGGAGGGTTTTAAAACAAACAATCGAAATAAACCGTTACACTTAAATATAGTCATTTATGTGGTGATCTCGACTATGCTGAAGCCAAGGATAAAGATAAACGTGGCTAGTTTTAGATGACGTCAACAGTAAAAAAGTTACTGATTGATACACTTAAAATACAGTTGCCAAGTCAATCTTGGAAACGAGATTCAATGTAAATATGGAAATCTGTAATTCAGAACACACTGCTTTGCGTCAACAAGGTAATTCATTCAACATTCAATAGAATAAAAAAATATGTTTCAAGAACGTTATTTTGCCATTACAGATTTATTTATTTATTTAGGGATATCATAGTACATAGCACAATATCAGTTTAGGTTACAATATTGACAGATGACAAACATCCTTAAATCCACATTTTTAAATAAATCTGTTATAGCAGAGAGCAAATTAAAATATATGTTACGATAAATGGTTGTGCAACAGAGACGATACAATGTTACGTATCAGTTTTGCAAAGTTGTCCGCTCCGTACTTTCAAATCTGGTGTTGACCTTCATGCTTAGATACATAAAACCGGGTTGCGTAAGTTCACTGATAATTCTGCTGAGTGACGGAAAGTTGGACCCAAAGTTTATTTTGCATAACTACAATACTGGATTTCATCTTATACATAAAAATAATTACATAACAGTATTTTTGTAACAGAAATCAATCACAAAGGAAGGACTAAAAGCCATGTATCATGAGAATGAATATAGTGAGTAGACACCCTTATGTTTCAAATTTTCATGTTTTAGTTGTTACCTGTTAATTACATAATAAAAGATTATTATGTATGAATAATTACGTTGTTATCTAAAAGATTACTGTAAATTATTTAGATAATTTATTTATTCATAATAATTAATGAGCTAGGTACTGTTCAATTAAATTGATTCACTTGATTAGTGACACTTAAACAATTTATAACTTAATTTAAATAAATGCATGTACGTTGTAGATATTATTATATTTTATTTATAAATAGGTCCCCAATTATTTTTAATATCGTAATACAAAATACATTGGACAGTAGAAATTGTTTACAGATTTGTATTTTTGATATAAGTATGACATGTTTTTTTGCAATTATAAAATTACATTTTTGTATTTAAACATTTAAAATAAAAATAAAACTGAAAAAGAAAAAAGTGAACGCGACCCTGCCAGGATTCGAACCTGGAATCTTCTGATCCGTAGTCAGACGCGTTATCCATTGCGCCACAGGGCCAGTTGGTGGAGTGACGAATTTGGCCTACTTTACTCGCAGACAGTGTTCCGTATTTATTCTAACATTTCTACATAACAATAATTAAGTTTTTTTCCATAAATATCAGAGAGCAGAAATAACAGGAGTGGAACTGACAGGCAATCCCCTCTAGCAATGTAAGTAGACCAGTGGTTCACTCAGTTTATAAAAACTAGTTGCAGCGCCACCAATGACATATTCCAAATGTCACTATTGAAGAGTAACGTGCTGCGATAAAAATGGTGAATTGCAGTGTTTTTAATTGTAAGAAGAGATCTGAAACATCAAATCTTGAAAAGGACAACATTACATTCCATCGGTAAATATTATTTTATTTATTTCACATTAATTAATACACTAAATTTACAAAAAACTAAATTTCTAGAAGTGTTGCCACTGGAATGACTGGAAAGCAAAAATTCCTAATTGTGTAATATTTTAAGGATAGTGTACTTATAACAATATAATCGGGATCATCTTAGATAGTAAGCTGTCTTTCACATTTCACTTCGACAATATTGTATCTAAAAGTCTTAAGCTCCTGGGTTTTATTTGGCGAAACTGTAAATCGTTCAGGAATGCTGAACCTTTAAAAAGTACCTATTGTGCATTAGTACGAAGCTCACTGGAATATTGTTCTAGTATCTGGAATCCTATGTACAAATGTCACATCGATCGATTGGAAAAAGTACAAAAAAAGTTCTTGTATTTCTTGTCAATACATCAGGGTAAAAAGTACAAATTACTGAGCTACCATGACAGGCTAAAATTTTTCAAATTTTCTTCTCTCAAGAATCGTCGTTGGGTCACTGATCAGGTTCTCCTGTACAAAATTATCAGAGACCGTATTGATTGTCCCCACCTTTTGAGTGAAATCAAGTTTAAAATACCTCGAAAAAGTGCGAGAATCTCGAACTATAAGCCCTTTTATGTCAAGCGGTATAGGACAAATCTGGGAGCACAAAATATCGTTAATAGACTCTGCGTTGAATATAACAGGTTCTACGGGGCCACTGGTGCCACTGAAAGTGATCTCCTGCACTACTCCCAAACACAGTATAAAAGGAAACTATACTCCTTTGTGGCGTCTCAACTGTTTGTGTCAGATTGAGCTATGGTAACCGTTTTTTGTTTCTTTTTTTTAGTAAATGAAACTTATTTTGCATTTGTAGTAAGTAAGTAGGTACCTACTTATAAGATAAGTCATGTCTAAATCAAAATTCTACTATTATTGATACGATTAAGTGTTTTTTTTGTGTGCATGGAACGGTTCGGAACAAACTGCATTGAATCTATATTGCATGTTGTGTCAGCCTATAATTGTTGTTGCATTGTAACTTTGTTCATAATTGTAATTTTTAAGTGTACATGTTGTAATGTAACAATGTTGGTAGACCTAATAAATAAATAAATAAATAAATAAATAAAATACAAATATCCCTAAAAATTCATGGGAATAAGGATTGAAGGGGAGATTTTGAAATATTTTTTCTTCTAATCTCAAGCACTTCCAGGGTACTAATTAGCCCGGCTAAACAAGCGTGAGCAGCATGCGTGTTAATTGTTACGGCGCCCCCGGGAAGGAAGGAGGGTGCAATCGTGCAATAGTACCTCCGTAGCACGTAACACAAGGCTTAAACATTACAGGATGTAGGTTTGCTATGTTTTAGGTAAGAGCATGGGCCGTGTAACAAGGAAGTGCTATTATAGCTAATATTGAAATAAGAAATTTAGTAGTGTCACTCACTACTAAATTTCTTATCTCTAGTGAGCTATTGATTTTGATGATATCGATAATTAAGATTCTTTCCGAGGCTAAGCAGATCGTTTTTATCGTCATAAAAACGTCTAATGGTAACCTGTAACTATGTTCTGACTAATTTCGAACTTAACTGTTCAAATTCGTTCAGTAGGTCAGGCGTGAAAACAAAATAAACAAAAAAGTAAAACAAAATAAACTAACTGAATGCATAGATTCAACATGAATCACTACCGAAAACAATTGTTGCCAGGGCAAGTGTTAACAGCTATGGAGCACAGGGGTGGCGAAGCCTCTTGCCAATCGTTCCGGTTGGTTTGAGGGTTGCCAACGAGAAGTAACAGAATTATTGACAGAGAGAGAATTTGATATTATAACTAAATGACTATAATTTTTGAATTATTAATGACGAAGAAATTATTACATAAATAAGTTTATTACATAATAACGCTCCTGAAATGACTGTTTTTTTAACACTGCAACAATTTTCGATTATCTTTTCTAAAAGTAAGACAACCCTATCTAAAACTGCGATACAGCGAACTGCATTACCGAATAGACAGGCTGATTGTACACATTCCGGTTACCGCGGTAACCGAATAAGTTTAATTGAAAAGCTCCACTATCGTCCAAACCAATGGCCTTTGCTTGAAAGATTGATCTTGTGCTAAGTATACATTTATGGCCAAGTTTACTCACTGCGAAAATGCATTGATTTATTAAATTATATAGCCCAATGAAAATTATTTGTATTGTCAAGATTGTCAACCCTAACTTACTACAAATTTTGATTTAACAGCGCATTAATTAAGGTACCTACTCAGACAAGGGGTAAAGGAAATTGCAAGTGCGCTACAGCGTTAATTATTGCCTAGCAGCTATCACGGATATAGGTGTTCCATATTGTTGGTAATGCAGAAATATCCCCAAACTCCGGCATTAGCCCACTGCTGCAGGCTGGCCGCCCGCCAGGGAATGTGCGGTCGCAGAGATACGGGAACGGCCAACAACTCCGTTTTAAGGCTGACTTTTTTGGGGTACGCGGCCAAGACCCGCGAGTTATGTCATGTCAAGAGTCATCGTTCATGTCCAAGACCTTGCCCCGCTTTACGGTTTCTGACTCCCACAATAGGAGCTATCCACTAGTCACTAGCACGATTATATTGGCTATTTGTGGTCACCCCCTGATACAATCGGTAATGCTACCTGTGAGCACCGTTGATTACTGATCATGAAGACCCTTTCAGTATTTTCAGCACACATGTTAAATCATAGTTAGTAAGTTACATGAGGGCACATGTATTTGAAGATTCATGGTAACATGCGATTACTTGCATTACTGTTGGTGAATGAAATCAAGCATAGCGTCTAACTAATGCCATATTTATTATGTGTTCATAAATCGTTAGTTCTTCCTAAGACCATACCTCAGACTTAGATTAATAAAACCTAGATAGATAGTCAGTGCACGAAAGGTGAGGCAGATTTTAGTAAGACAGAATGGCTTATTCGTAAACGTCACATGAACTGTCAAAGTGAAAAATTGGTAAACACGTCCGACGACTTTTAATTAATTAAGACGGTTTGTGCTGTGAAAGGGTGTCTAAATACATCAGAAAAACTAAAGAAAGTGACCAGTGTTACATTTCATAAGTAAGTACTACGATTCGACGCGTATTATGCTTGAATTTGGCTTTCAAAAATTAAATACGGGAATGATACCAGTAACAAGAAAATTTATTTCCCGATTGTTCGCCGTACAAATACACTTCCTTTTTTATGAAATCGAGACTTTTCAGTCGATTTATCTTATTGTAATTAGGTAAGTACTTTTAATTCAATAAATAAATAAGAACTTGATGCGTTTTGTTTTTGTTAGTTATAAAATAATTAAAAACGTATCAAAAATTTCCCTACTTTCGGGAAAATCGCCTTCACTGTCTACACTCCCCAACAAAATTGACACTAATGACATAAGATTTTTGCCTCACTCTTGACGAAGCGTTTGTATGAAGACTATCCATCTAGGTTTTATTAATCTAAGACCTCAGACCATTACCAATTACCTAGAAAAGAACAAAACTTAGAAGAGCGTATACTGTGGCGAATAGATAAATATTTTAGCCATAAAATCTGAAATGCGAAGTCATATCAGACATCCGTAACTCACATTTGGTACTTTTCCCTGCATTTTACACACAATAATTTTAATTAAATTTATGCAATGAATGCCAAGTTTCATGTCAACTAAAACTCGCATGCCGTTAATTTTATTCGTTTTGCGTTCATCGTGGGAAACTTTTGCTTGTTATTTTTTTTAGTTGGCCGATCTGCTCGGAGCTGTGAAGCCGTGAACTTTGTCGTGTATGGCTCAAATTACTCTGTCGCCGGGCCACAACCGCGGCAGCCATGTTGCGGGAGCGCGGGAAAACATTTCACGGCAGCGTGGGCAACGCTGGAAAATATCATTGGGGATCTTGGGAGCTTTGGGACACTGCACGTCTCTAATTTATGGCGTGTTGTGAAAAATATTATTTTGATAGAGCGGTTTATATGAGAGCGCTAAAGCCTTAGTTTTAGATGGGTTTGTCACTTTTTATAAAATTTTATTAGTCTTGTAATTAGTAAGCTAGCAATGCTCAGATCTGAAACTTAATGTTCACTGAGTAATTGACGTCGTCAGTTTATTACTTAACTGTTCCATTCAGCCTTGTGAGTTTTCTTCTTGCGAGGTTTTATGATGAAAATTCTCACTTTCTAATTAAATTACTAACTAGATGGCTCGTTTAACTACCCTCAAGATATATCCCGGATCTCTATCTCTTTCGATAGGTATTTAATCCGAGACATTCCAATGCGTACCCTCTTACCGGCTGGCAGGACGTTATGTCATCCGATATGAAAGTCGAGGGAGATTAGTATGCGAGGCTGCGCGTTTAAATTCGACCTCCTAATTATACGCAATACGTAATCGCACGCGGAAAATATCGGACTTGGCTATTAGAACGAATTTTATGTACATCGTGTCCCAAAATTCAACGATAAGCCGGCACCATAGTGGACATGGTCATCATGACTACTTTAGGAAATTAAAATTAAGATTTAAGTTACATTTTTTCTTATTTTTCCTAAAGTTTAACTAGTAAGTTTTCCTAAACTGTAGGAAAAATTAGATATTAATACAGATTTTTTTACTTATTTTTCCTAAA